ACGCGCACACACACAGACACACACACACACATACACACACACGCACACACACACAAACGCTCACACACATGGTGTCGCGGCCCCGCGCGCAGCGTCGAGGCGTAGAAAGTCGGGCAATGAGACGCGCGCGGCCGGCCCAGATAAAGCGGGTTGGGGACTGGGATCCGCCATGGGGTATCAATTGGTTCGCTCGCGGGTTGGCGCGAGGGGCGGGGGCAAGCTCGGTGCGCAAGCGTCCTATCTGACGTCCTACCCCTCCGCGCCATCCCGTACAATGACATAGATCTCCTCTCTATTCTCGCAGTCGGATGTCTAGCAGGAGAATGATCCCGAGAGGGTACGAGGTGCATGGTGGCGCACGGCTTACCACGGCGTAGACGAGCACGGCAGAGCGTCGTCGGGTCGAGAACACGACTCTTGCTCGACGACAGGCTGCGAAGGAAGCCAGACATGACGCAGGACGGAATGTAAATGGGTGGTGTGGAAACACCGGAAGCGCGAAATGAGAGCCAGCGCTGGTCGAAAACACGACTCATGTAGACAACAGGTTCTGATGGGAAACCAGGCATGACAAAGGACGAAGAACGTGAAGGGACGTTTCGGAAAGAGCGGAAGCGTAAAATGAGAGCCGACGCTGTCGTGGGACACGGTTCGAAAGATCCGCAACAGAGAAATGCGAGAAATGCAGTCAGCGCTGCAGCGGGAGTAAGTTGGAAGGACCGAGAGCCAGAACATGGGGCCAACGCTGTAGCGGGGGCGCCAGACTGGAAATACCGAAAACGTTCGGAGAGGAAAAACACATAGAATCGACCACTTCTGGGGGACCCGATTTGTAAAGAACAAGATGGGCGATGGGGGGCGAGACGAGGGATATTGAGCAGCACGTGCAGACGAAACGGGGCGTGGTGGCAAACCACAGCGGCGTTGCCGCGGCGGGGGGGGGAGAGAGAGACGAAACCAGTGATAAGCAGGGCGTGCCCCTCTACAAGAGGAGTATTCAATTACGGAAAGCCCCCACATGAAAATTTGTTCGGTGAGTCTGGAAATGGTTTTCAAGTCGTCCTCGCGATGTGTGAGGCGCCCTTATTGTTTTCTCTGCGTCATTAACCCCACGCCCACGATAATAATGTTACCCCCCCCTTAAGTCGTTAGAGTTTTTTTATCGTCGACCAATAAGAGTTTGGTCGGGGGCGCGGGGGCGCGGAGGCCGAACTTCATTATCACGGGAAAAGTTCGCCATCGAAGTTACTTCCTTCTTATGTTGAGATAACAACATCAAGCGAAGCGAACACGTTGTTTCAGGATGTCTCAAGCGAAACCAATGTCCTTCTGTCTCTTTGTAGTTCTTTCTGTCTCTCTTTCTTTCTTTCTCTGTCTCTCTTTCTCTCTCTCTCTCTGTCTCTCTATCTCTTTCTCCTTCCTGGCCTCTCTGTCTCTCTCTCTCTCTGTCTCTCTATCTCTTTCTCCTCCTCCTCCCCCTGGCGCCCTGAACTTGTTTATCGCTGGGGTTGATTATCCAGGGAAAACGAGGCACGTGAGCTACCCTACACGAGCACTTAAAACTTTTAATTTTCATAAAGCGCTTGTAAATAAAATTTAATACATTTGAATCTTCAGATTTTTTGTTTTATCCTCCTTTCCTCTTCTCTTTATCCTTTTCATTTATTATTATACTTTTCTTTTTAAATATATCTTCTCTCTTTAAGTCCTTCCTTTCTTTTTCTTTATGATGTATCTCTCTTTCTCTCTCTCTCTCTCTTTCTCTCTCTCTCTCTCCATGCCCCCCCTCTGAACTTTTTTATCCCTGGGGTTGATTATCCATGGAAAATGAAGCACATGAGCTACCCTACACGAGCACTTAAAAATTTTAATTTTCATAAAGCGCTTGTAAATAAATCTAATACATTTGAACTTGAGATTTTTCCTTCTCTTTCTCCTCCTCCTCTGTTTTCTTTTCTTTTTTTGATTTTTTTCCTTTTTCTTTTTCATTTCTTATTGTTTATTTTTGTTTTTGTTTGTGTATATCGCTTTCTCCATTCCTCCGCCCGCCTGAACTTTATTATCGCCGCGGTTGATTATCCAGGGACACCGAGGCGGATGAGCTATTCCGAGGATGTCTCAAGCGAAACAAGCATATACTCGAGGATGTCTCAAGCGAAACAAGCATATACTGAAGGATGTCTCAAGCGAAACGATACGTTTCTTAAGCGAAATAAGCAATAGTTTGACGGTGTCTCAAGCGAAATAAGCAACAGTTTGTGGATGTCGCAAGCGAAACAAGGGATTTGCCGAGGATGTCTCCAGCGATATAAGCCATTGTTGATGATATTTCTATGAAGACTACGGCTTGGTCTCCTCTTGATCATCTCTTACTTCGAGATTATGCTGAGGTCTGGTGGGCTACTTTAATTATCTCCCCCTGAACCCCGAACTTTATTATCCCCTAGTGTTTATTATCGTGAGCATGGGGTTATCATGGTCGCCCTGGCGCAGGGCCCTC